AGAATTTGGCGGAGGAGCTGAACGGGAGCGTGGCGGGGAGCACGTTATATGGGCGCGGGAAGAGGGACTACGGCTTCATTTTTGTTTCCGCCATGTTATCGTACCATGGGATCTGAGGCGTATCTTTTCGCTGTGTTTTGCGGTTGTCAGATAATAACTGTAGTAATGATTTTCAGGATACAATTATTTTTTACTCACTCATCCGGTTTGCGGCTACAATTTCTAGTGCTAATGTGTTATCGGATTTTCATTTCCAGGTTGAAATGGGTAATAAGTATTTTTATATATAGTCATAAGAAAAAGAGAGCTTGTCAGTTACCGCTTCAAACCTAAAATAATTAAACATTTTACGTTTTTAGCGTTGAATTCGCCATTAGCGGGGTTCATTAACATAAATGCCTGGGCAGTGACTAGATGTTTTCAAATAATTTTTGTTTTGTTTTATCTGCGATGAAGACAAAAAACAGCGCACCAGTTTCAGTAAACCGTGTACAGTACACTATATTGATAAGTGATAATCAGAATTACGATCTGTCTGACGAATTTTATATTTATATAATAAGGAAGAAGTGTTCTTAAGGAACTAAGAAGACAACATGTGGTGACCGACACCATATGTATATAAGTTTGGTTATGTTATGGGCAGGACCAGTTACCTGGGGAGGCAAGAGTAGAAAGGTGGTCATCACAACACAGCTCAGCCTGGCTTACAACTTGACCTGTCATCTTCACCTCTGACCTACTTTCTCCGTAATTAAGTCAGCTTTCCTTTGTTAACGCCCTTTATTGAGAATTTATTCTGCGACAAACTTTATCGAGGGCGAATAAGGTCATTATTAATTACTTAATATCACTTATTAACCCCTTGGGGACGAGGAGCCTCTCTCTGCTGAATAAAATCGTCTAGCGTGAGCCAAATAAAATAGTGAGTCACTTCCAGTAGTTGAGGAGTTAACGATGACCCAACGTAAAATCAGGGAATGTTCAAGACTAGTCCAGTGTGTGATGAAACCCTCCATTGTTTGCAGTACTGTAAATCTGTGAGTGGGAATTTTCACTCGACATACTGTAGAGTAACAAACAGTATGGGGGGCCACGTACCTTTGTCTTGTAAACTTCACCTCCAAATACAGACGACTTTGATATTCAGCGCACCACAGCGGCTCCCTTGTGTGAGCAAGTATTCCTCGGGGTGTATTTAATTTTACTTTTAAGGGAACAGTTTTGGGACCGGAACTCACTGCCTTCAGGGCCTCACCTACCAAACCTAACGTCAATGAGACGATAAAAAAGTTGCCAATAGCGTGTAAATCTGTTCATCCAACTTGGACAATAGTATTGTGTTGTCTCTCAGACACTCGAGCATTAGTAAGCACCTTTGAATTTTTCCCATGAGACTTTTTCTGTACTTTGGCGAATTTACAAGAAAAGACGACGGGATACGAAGAAAACATGAGTCATGTAGCCATTGTGAATTTTCGTTTTTTGTGAACTTCAGCGGCGTGGGTGTGTGCTTCCCGCGCTGAATGAACGTGAAGACGGCTTTAGTTCTCCTCCGGTACACATGATTTTTCTTCCTTGGAGCGAATATTATTAAACACGCAAAATTAAAATGGTCTACACTCGAGAGAACAAGTCTAGTCTATGCAAGTTTGGGAGAAAGAATGGATATAGATTTAGAATTATTATTTTCTGTGAACATCTGTACCCATCTCGAATACTGGTGTTTCAGTGTTGATAAGAACTGGTACTTGCAGGTGGGTGGTAGAACAAAAGATAACTTCAAGATGGTAGTGTAGAGAATATTTGTGCTAAGTCTAGGGTTGCAAGACGCCGAGTTCATAAACACCTCAACTATTAACCTAACACACACACACCAGTTGTCGATCGAACAAATAAGCTTTTGTTGGTTCATTTGCTCCTTGGCTAGTTTCGGGTAATGCTTTTTTTAACAATATATATAAAATATTCAAACCTATAGATAAAATGGGACATCTTTCTTAAAAATTGACACCATAAACAAAGAGTTTCGTTCACTTATTACAACATACAAACAAAGGATCAACAGAAAACGAATTGGATTAAATATGAAGCCCCATCGCTCTGGATTCATGTCTCACGATCTTCCATTTATACCAGACCCCATTCATTTCCTCCCATGAAAGAAAACCTGTTATTACCCTCCGTGAGAGTCAATTTGCATTTTTTCCATTATCATCTGCTTTCACTTCATCTATTACAAGAGAATGGGCGTGGCGAAGAGAATGAAAAAATATATATATACGGGCGGTGGGGTGAGGGAGACTTGCCGACCACGGTGGAGAAAGCGATTGGACACGCGACTGCTCAGTTTGGGCGGTTCATTAATAGGAAGTGGTAGAGTGTTGGTTATATAGTGAAGACAGAGGGCGCTACATCACACTACTAGTATAGATACAGTTAAACTATTTGAGTATTATTTCTTTAGTTTTTCACACACACACACACACACACAGTTAATGAGAAACGACCGGTCAAGAACTAAGCAGACGAAGAAATGTCACAATTCCAGTGAAATGAAATCGAAGCTATGACCCATTCTCCCCCCCCCCCCACACAGGGTAAATAATGTGACCCTAGTTAGATTAATAACACAAATGGCTGTCAGACCCCTCCGCCCTCAGCCAGCTAAAACTACCTCAGGCCCGGGGCGTCATGCAGACAAGGTAGGTCATCATGAGCTACGTTTATCGCTCCAGTCTGGTTATCAGTCATCACAATTAACCTGTCGTCTTGATCACCGTCTTGGAGGTGGACCTGAGTCAGTGTTGGCTCTCTCTCTCGTTTGCGTTCCTTGTACTTGGCTATTTCGTTTTGTGTGTGTGTGTGTGTGTGTGTGTGTGTGTGTTTTATAAGAACCAATTAATGGTACTTTAATAAATTTCTCAAAGAATTAATTATAATCATTAATTGTTTTATTATTTATTTTACTCCGTTTTCCATTTTATTTGTGTAATTAATCGTCATCTTTGGGAACTTTTTCGTATATCAATCATCGTTCATTATATTTTATCATTCACTAAGTTTCTCTTTCATATCGTTCATTCTTCTTGGGCACTTCTTGTCATTCATCTTTCATTCTTTTATACTTAGGGGTTGATTCATCGTACTCAAGGGGTAAACTCATCGTACTCAAGGGGTTAAGCACGTATACCAGATTAGTTCATTCACCAGCCATAACCAATTAGGGGAGAGAGAGAGAGAGAGAGAGAGAGAGAGTTGTAATGAAAAGATTAAATTATGGAATTGAAATAAAAATAATAATAAATAAATAATAATTTTAGAAAAAAAATACCTGTAGTACTAATTTGATTATGATACAGTAATTGATAATATTCGTAACGTTACTACTAATAATAATACAGGATTACTTCACAATATATCAGTCGGGAAAATAATTGTGAAACCGGTAGCAGTAATAATTACAACGCTAGTACTATTAAATAATTTTACAAGTTATAGGAATAATAAACTTGAGGAAATACTGAGTGGAGGGGTGAGCGAGGGCAGAGGTGGGAGGTCTGACAAGGGAAACCGAGCCACAGGTCACCTCCGGAAAGTTGTAACACGACTCCCTCAATCTGTGGCGTCTCACTGCCTGCTTCCGCTGTGATCTCCTGCTTGACTGCTTTTTATTCCATTCTTGCCAAAGCTTACTGCGTTTATATTTTGTGTGTATAAAGAATATGAATAAAGAGAGGTTGTTAAAAATGAAGATAGAGTTAGAGAGAAGAAGAGAGATAGGGAGGTAGATATGGGAAACTCTTCACTTCATTCTTGTGTGGTCTTCAGACCCCCCATGGTCAACACCGTCACACACACACGTTCTCTTTCTCTCCTCTCTTGATGCTAACTCATTCCTTGAGGGGGATTAATAGGAGAAGAGGAGGTAGCTGGATGACACAGAACAGGGCGAGAGAGAAAGGAGGGAAGAAATAGAGAAGACGAGTGAAGAGGAACAAGACTAATGGTGGAGTGTGTAGAGAGGGAGTGAGTGTGGTGTTCTCTTACCTAGGTGTTCCCTGACCTGTGTGCCCTGGTGACGTGTTCCCATGCACAGTGTTCATGCGTTTCTCCAAGTCTTATTTAATTCTTTTCCCCTACATCTTTGAACAGGGTAGGTTAGGTTAATTAAAACAGGGTAAATAAGCTAAGACAACCGAACCTCACCAAACTTGAATATAATCTGAGGTTGGTAGGTTAAGTCTGATTGGTTCGTTTTATATTTTTTTAACGATTTTCACCAAAACTAATATTTATAACATCCAGAATTTGAGATTGTTGTATGTTAGAACTGGATGAGTTGATGGATATTCCTCTAATGACATACAGTACGTAGGAAAGAGTTGAAGTCGGATGATGTGTCAAGATCCACCGTGATGTTGCCCTAAGTTGTCTTAACTTGCATTCATACTATTATTATCAACTTTAAATAGAATTGTGATGCCTATCCATGATCAATATTAGGATGGCAACACTGCAACCATACACACACTGCTACTAGTATCATTAACATTAAAATCATCTCAACATTCTATGAAAATCACCTTTTTTTTTCTAAAGGTATCGAAGAGCAGAAAGAATCATAAGCTATTAGAATGTGGAATTAATCATGAAGTAGGAATATGATCATAAACCAGGTGAGTTGACAGGTACTCAGTGCTGGCGAGTAAAACCGAGAGTGTTACCAGAAATGTGACTTATTATTGTACTGCAGAAGTCGTTTGTTACTAGATGGTCACATGCGTCACACCACAGCAGTCGAGGCAGCTGTTGAGGCGTGTGGACGATGATCTTGTGGGTTCATGTATAAAGAATAACAAAATAACCTTCACCAGTCATCACACAATGCAGTACTTACTTAGTGAACACACACTTTGAATATAATTGTGTACCTCCACTTATGAAGGCACTTATTTACTTTTTAAACAATTACCAGTTGCTAAATTTTACAGATTTCGTAGTGAACTGTCTCCACTAAACACTTACTGGTGGAGCGTCTTAGACTGTGGGACCTGAGGCGGCGGCATCTCCCAGGAGCTGAGAAAGGCATGGATGGTACAGTAATTACCCCCAGCCCTTGGTTCACGGAGCAGATGTCTCATTTCCAGAGGATGGAATCTTTAAATTTTTCGAGGAGGCTCTCTCCGTCTCCGGGAAATGTAAGTTAAGTTAAAGTTTTATAATATTTCAAGTATACTTTTAAATATTATATGTATGGGTTTTATCCATAATCTTATGATGTATTGGTTTTAAATAGGAAACCTTTTTAAGTGAATATTTATTTAGTGTTTAGGTGAACAGGTCCTACACTATCGCTCTGACGTATTGTTCATTACCTTCGACTTTATTGAGTTCATTCTCTCCACTCTTCCGTCCCGTCCGACATTGTGAAGGTGGTCACAGTATAAGGTCAACAGATATCCTTAAATTATCCTGAAGACATCGCCATGTGGTCACCAGGGAGAGCGATGGCGACGTGACCAAGGAGCATGGGCAGCCACCAGTCACCTGGTTATAATGAGACGGGCCATATAGCTCTACCTTTAGGAACGCCTTCCACTACCGCTACCCATTGTAAGGGTTTTCTGGGGCATGAAGGAGGACGGATAGAATCCAGGGAGGGTAGAGGCCAGCCAGGGGAGGTAAGGGAGAAAGGGCTTTTAAGTAAAGAAAGAGTACTTGATAGAGTGTAGGTTGAGTGGAGTGTGTGTGTGTGTGTTGGAGACACAACTCAGCTCCCTTTTGTCTTTTATCGTCGTAGGTGGTTATTGGTTATGAGTCGAGGAAGTGAGGGTTAAGGGTAGTAAGGGGTTCAGGAAAGTGAGGAATGAGGGAAAGTTAAGGATCAGGGAAAGTGAGAAACTACGAGGAGTGAGGTGAAAGATGAACCTATTTGGGGCAGGCCAGAGGGGGAGGGGGGGTGGTGGAGGGGAGCACAAAGTGTCCTCTATTACAGCCCACTCACGTGAAGTGGGGCGGGGCGGGGCGGGGCAGAAGGAGGAGGAGGAGGGCGACCAGGAGGTATAGAGGAGACGCGGAGGTTGGTGGTTTAACACTGGTGGTCTACAAATATCGGGGCTCGAGCCGGTAATCCGAGAAGTGTGAGGCCCGGGTCGCTCCAGTAACCCGAACCTAAGGGTGCTAAGTCGGGGAGGCGCACCCTGACCCAAACTAATGATAGTTATAACAAGAAAAATGAAGAGGAAAATGAGTTGAGTAACAATAACAAGTGAATTTTAGGAGAATTTTTATGTACGAAATAGAAAATGTGAATTACGTCAAAAGAAAGTGAAGGAAAATAATATAATTTTATGTTGTGTTTCCACATTTTCCATCAGTAATTGTTTAGACTGACTCATGATATTGAAAATTTTTGTAATAATAATAATGAGTTATTTTAACAGCAACAACAGTAATAACAATGATCAATTAAAACCTCTAATTATCACATGAAAGAGAATTATAATGCCTCGCTGTTTCTAATGAAGCGTGACAATTTATCACTGTGCGAGTATTGTATCATTATTATCTAAACCAGTCCGTGTGACCAAATATCCAGCATTTTATTTAAAAATTAATTATTCTATAATCAAGGAAGCCAGTTGATAATAATAAAAAAAAACTATCGTTTCTCACGTTGAAATATTTCCTGAACTAAAATATTAAAATAACGAAAAAAAGGCGACCCATTCATCCATTGTTAAATAAGTTGGTCATGGTAGTCAGCACCGTGAATGAAACCAGGAAAAGAAAACTCTCTCCACATCGAACCAGTGAGTGAATAGAGGCAGATCGCTTATATATTCATGCTCGGTGATTCATTCTGGATGGAGAGGGAAAAAATGGTGATCTGTTGTTAAGTTATTGAGAGATAATTTGTTTGAGTGAAAAAGAATTCTCCACACCAATCAGGCGCCTCAAAAGAGATAGATCGCTTATATATTCATGCGCATTGGTTCAACTGATTCTTTTCTCGTAAATGAATCAGTGAGATGTGAGCGAAACGCTTTGCTAGTCAGTGAGTTTTACGACTTGTGGAACAGGGGTAAAGAGGCTCTCAAGAGTTGGATTTCTACCTGTGAGGTCCCTGTCGATAATTTCCGGGGAGAGGAATTATGAAAAGAAGCAAAGGAGGAGGAGGAGGAGGAAGAAGAAAGGAAGGGAAGTAAAAAATGACGGAGGGGATATGCTTGTTGATAATTTCCGGGGGAAGAAGAGAAGGAAATACGATCGGTTGAAGATATGCATATTGTTAACATTCAGATGTATATACACTCTCGAGACCCTGGTCAGTGAAATCTGGACAAAGGGGTGAAAGGATGATGAGGAGGAAGAGAAGGGGAGGAGAAAACATGATGACCAAGTCTTATGGCCAGAAAGTTCAATTGAGATGATTTTTTAAATTACAGAAATTAGTCATTGTACAGACCTATAAACACGACAGGTCGTTTATGTAATAGGATATGTTTTAGTGTTTTTATAACGAAGGGTAAATTTCTTAAAATGAAACCGGAAGTACTTGGTGAATATAAATACTGCAATCTGTATGCGCTGGGGGGAGTATTAATGTTTAAGAATAATCTATACACACAAAAAATAAGGTATCTTATAATTATGCTAGATTGTATTTAAATATGATCTCGACACAAAGTTACCTGTAAATAGAATTCTCGGCGTCACGTGAGGCGGGGCTAGGCGTGTGTGAGGCCTCTCTTATGTCGTCCAGTGAACATTCCAATTGGTCGCCTCCCCCCACCCTCCCCGCGCCATTGAACCCTATCAATGACCAATCACTGGCGACCCTCTACCCTTGACTAGTGGGGGTCCACAAGGGAGCTGGGTGGTCTGGGACCCTTCTGGCTTCGTTTTGGACCTCCTAGCATCTATTAGGGACCTCCTAGTATCTACTAGGGTCCTCCTAGTATCTACTAGGGTCCTCCTAGTATCTACTAGGGTCCTCCTAGTATATAGTAGAGACCATCTAGTATCTATTGGGACTTCCTAGCATCTACTAGGGCCTCCTAGTCTCCACTAAGGATCTCCCCGGACAAACTTATAGGACCTCCTTGTAGTGTTCACGACTCGTTGTGAAGTTTGGCATCATTTTGAGTCTTACTATATTTAGGCTCTAAGAAACTCTTTGTAGGATCGCCGCGGCTCGTAAGGATTTTCCATGATGTTTATAGACCGTGCGCCATCTGCCACGACTTTTCAGAGCCTGATGGAACCTTTTTGTATGTATGACCACCTTAAGAATATCCCGAGAGCTTCCATTCATGCGACCTCAGAAGGATATTATCTAGTTTATCTTATATTCTGTGAGAGATTCGTGTCAACAAGCTCCCAGGCAGCTGTGTGATCTTGTACTCCTTTTCATTCCCTTGTCGAAACACCGCTTATGCCTATTTGTATAAAAGAAATATTACCTGGGCGTTATATACATAGTGAATTATATTACCAACTATTATTGAAAATTGACTACGTAGTTGTCAATTATTTTATTCGTACTGATACTCCCTCTATGTTCACTGTCTCTAAGGATTTACTGTCTAAATAAAAATCCAATGATGATTATCCCTCTTGACACGTATATAACAGATCAGGTCATCTATACTTCATAAACCCGGGTGTGGTAATCAAGATAAAGGGTTCATTCTGCCCAAGGGTTCAGATTCACAATGGGAGTTTTTGGAACTCGAATGACACGATCGGAAGTCACGTTTGAGATTCGTCGAGACTTTATTGTTTTATGTGTGAATCCCTGTTATTAATTAAAGTGGTGTGGTGTTGTAAGGTGCGTTTATACAACCTTAAAGTGATATATTGAAGCATTTGGTGTGAGTTGTAACTGCTGGTATACTGTGTTAATCTGAGTCATAGGTGTACAGTATTAGCTCTTGGGGGTAAAGACTGTGCTGTTGTGAGTGTTAAGATCCTTCATGAGTGCTGTTGTTATATAGCATTAACCTTTGTTTTACCACTTATAATTTCTTTTCCTACCGTCCTAACTCCACCACAAGCGTAAGTATAAGACTCCACCTCGAATAAACATCTCGTAATTTAAGTGTTGCCAGATTAGGGTTAACCTTGCCTCTCGTCTTCTCTTCTGACCTTCCCCTAAGCCAGGTGATCGATTAAATTGAACTAAGTTTGGTGCAGTAACAATGGTCGATAGTGAGTGTTAAGCAAATGTTTCTTTCTTTTGTAACAATGGTCGATAGTGAGTGTTAAGCAAATGTTTCTTTCTTTTGCTTCTTCCCTCTCTTCCTCCACCCCCCTTCGTTTTCTTTCTCTTCCTTCCCCGCTCTTTCGCTTTCTGTCCCCTCCTCCTACCTCCTCCTTCATCCCCCTCCTTCGTTTTATCCTTCCTCTCCTTCATTTCTTCTCTCCATCCTTAGTTTCCTTCCCTTCCTTCCCTCGATTACTTCTCTTCTCCCTCACTCGTTCCTTTTTGTTTCCTTCCTTCCGCCTTCATTACTTCTTTTCCACCCTTCCTGCCATCCTTCCCTCTTTCCTCCGCTCTCTCCTTCTTCCCTCCCCTCTACCTCCATCTCCTTGAAACATAACCAAAAAAAAAAATAAAACACCCACACAAACACACACCATCACTACCAGTCTCCAAGAGCAGCTGGCTAGTTGCTTAGGCCGTGCCCTCATTCAAGATGGCCACTGATCGTATCACTCTAATCGAATATTTGATTTGTGGAGAGGCTAATTGATCGAGCCCCACCAACCCCCTTCCACCCCTTCCCCTTAACCACACACCCATACCCACACAATCTCTTCCTGACCACACAACCCTCTTGACCACACAATCCATCCTGACCATACACAAACCCTGCCCCACTCCCAGCCTTCCCGACCACATACAATCCCTTCCTGCACCACACAACTCCTCCTGCCCACACAGCCCCTTCCTGCCCACACAACACCTCCTACCCACACAACTCCTCCTGCCCACACAACTCCTCCTGCCCACACAGCCCCTTCCTGCCCACACAACACCTCCTGCCCACACAACTCCTCCTGCCCACACAACTCCTCCTGCCCACACAACTCTCATCCCCCTCAAAAAATACAAAAAAAGTTAGACACGCATTCCTAAGATATTCTCAACTTCAATAACATCATCATATCTTTTCTATAATTTTCTATACAG